ATGATCAAGTACTTTCTTTCCAATAGTTTTTCAAATGAAAATGGTTGAACAATTATTTATGCAATATTTCTCAGACTAGCTCTAAATCAATAAGAAAATAAAAATCCCACATTTCCACTGAGGAACACAAACATTTTCTGTTTCAACTTAAGCAAATGCCCTGGATAAAATCATACATTTCCGTTGTCTTTGAAAAAGCTAGTGATGTCTGCTTTTCTTTGCAGTCAAGGCTGTGTTGAGCACATGAGAATGACAGCATGAGCGAGTGGAGCAGTTCGGGGAAGATAGCAGGAACATATCCAAGCCACACAACAGGGATATTTATCACAGGCTCAGCCATGCACGAAAGTTAGTGGCGACCATGGTTAGGAAAGTATGCATATAATGTAAATATAAAAGCAGGAATGAAAGCTTTCGTTGGCATGAACTACTAGAAACCGAATGTTCAAACCAATTTGTAAGTGTTCAGCAATGATGACAAAATCAATCTTATGATGAGTATGGGCATATGAAACGAAAAATGTGAAGTGGGGATACAGTTGAAATAAAAGTAAAAGCTCCCACTCCCACTTAAATTTGAGTCAGCATCTGGGATTATATCAAAGATAGATTGTGGGTCTACCTTTACGTCTGAGTGGGAAAATATTTCTGCAAAAAGCAATAAACTGAAACTGTTACTAACAAAGCCTCAATACTGCCCCACATTAGTCTATTCAGGTACACAAATGTAATCAGAAAAACAAAAGAGTATAAAAAGAAAAACTGGACCCTGTGTGCAATAGGTTGATGGTGTTTATTGCATGAAGAAGCTGATGTGGTCATCATGTTGTTCAACAAAAAAAAGTAAGCCTCAGGGATCACATTTCCATAGATATATATTTATATATATATGAGAAAGGTTCCCAGAGCCTATGAAAGCCAGCCAGTCCCTGCGGCACATAGCATGTCACATTTTACCTACAGGAGCCTGACAACCAAGATACATGTGTGTGTGTCGTACTAAAGTGGTGTGTAGTCAATCGTGTCAAAGTCAAAAGGAAGGTGCTTGCTCACTTTCAGCTCTACACTATGGTTGCATCAAGTGGAGACATACCAGAATTATCATCAGTGGAATATTTCTACAGGTGGGACAACAGCCCCTATATAATGTGATGTCATGATCTGCCTAGTTTTGCCAAACTACTTACACTCATTTACATTCTCTCTCTCTCTCTCTTTCACTGTGCTGGGTACAGCCAAGGTGCATCTCTCACTCTCACAAATTAAGTCTGTCATAGTAATTCTTTCTCCTACCGAAAAATTACGTCTGGCTCTGTTTGAAGACAAGTGGGAAGGACATCAGAAGACAATTGTGCTCCTACCACCATCACACTTTGTAACACCCACTGACAGAGGTTCAATGCCTCCTCTCTGTCTCTCTCTAACTAGACAGCGCCCTGGGAAAGTGACAGGACAACTGATGCATTCTAGCCCTTGTTTTCAGTAGCCACATTTGAAAGACACTCCCTACATTACATCCTGGAAGCAAGACCAAACGTCTACAGGATGGTAAACACAAAGAGACAAGCACATATTCTCATTTCATGGATCTGAGAAGATGATCAGGAACTTGTGTGCATAATGAAACGGAAGCTATTAGTTAGCAACATCTATCTGTGAATGCCCAGACATCTGAAGTACACAATGAGTCCGATAAACAGACATGATGACTCTCACAAAAATACAAATCATAAAATTATAGTCTTGATTTTAAAAGCTGATAAAACAGATCTTAAGTCTATGCTACCTCAACATGAGGCACATTGGACGGCAATGCAAACAAAAGACAACAGAACTACATTACAATACAAGGCCAGTATGCACCTTTATCATGCTTGTGTGTGACAGGGGAAAAAATTGCCTTTGACAATACATGCGAACCCTAGACTAAACTAATACAATGTAAAGAAGTTAGGTGGATTACTTTCAAATGTCATTTAGTCAACACCTACATTGTTCTTTGGATGGGCTTGTAATCTGGAAGCAACAGACACCAACAGCCACTAACCACATACACCTGTTTATATCCTTTAACAAGTCATGTAATACAGACAAACAAGGAAAACAAAAACACTCATCAATCATCATCTTGAGAAAATAAAACTCTCTCTGCACAGATTTAAATCAATCTCAGAACCCCTTGCAACACTTTGTCCTCGAGTATGAGTATAAACATCTTTTGACAAGTATGACAACTTTTTAAACGCATGGGAACTGGTCCGAGAAATAGACTAACCAATTCACATAGATAAGATACCTGGCGTTAATAACAGCAAACCCTGAAGTAACATTGACCATTTGATCTTTTTTAAAATGCCATCTTGCCGTACACGTCATACACATACTTTTTATTGACAAGAGCAAGGAAGTCGAAGCATACAAAACAATGTCAGAGTTAGTAATACACATCTTCTGAATCTTCCAAGTCACAGCTTTGAGCATGATGTGAAAGGAAAAAAAAAAGCAGGTCACAGCCCCCCACTGGCCACTCAGACAAACATTTCAACAACACAGCTGAGTTCTCTACATACAACCATTCTGCAGCACAATCATTATAGCAATTGCTGTGCAAAAGTACAAATCAACTTAATCAAGACATGATCAGCAAAGAAAAAAATATAACAAAACATTAGAACTTTCTGACTTAAAACTTCCATCCTCTCCCCATATTATGTTCCTGCCAACATGCAGAAAAGAATTAAAAATAATAATAAAACAAAAAAAAAACAAAACTATTTCAATATCATCTCATTGAGACACTGAAAAAGCACTGCATGTATCTACATTCGGCTGGTTTTGGAATGCTGCTACGGCAGTCAAGCACAAAAATATAGGTGGCTTGAAGCAGAAGACTGTGGAGAAATGGTGGTCACATTTTGAAAAAAAAAAGAAAAACAAGCATAAGTCAAATTCCTTTGTTTGTATAGGCTTATCGATTCCCTTACCTCGGTAACAGGAAAATATTATTATACCATTCGGCCTGATCCCCCTCTCTTACCAAGAACAGGGACCTCTTTCCCACAGCTCAACAAAAACTTAGGTCACAAAGACCGACTTCACATTTGCATAGCTCAAGTCTAAATAGTCCGTCACAGAGGCACATCAGGTACTTTGACACTGAAAATCTGTCACACAATCAACCCTTCAGCACCTGGCACTCAGGACTCTCACTACACAACAAATATAACTGACCTGTCAGAACAGGCAGAAAGTGCACTCCCATAAAGTCTACTATACGGCATACACCTCAAAGCCGTCCTTTCACCGGAGCTTAGTTTTTATTCCTCTTGTGTTGAGTTTGCAACAAACATGCTGACAGGCATGGCAAAAGGCTACAAAAATATGATTTTGTAATAGCAGATGTTTTACCGCCTCAAGTCAAATAGTAAAAAAAATAATTTTGCTAATACAAGTATTTTACATCCTAATCAACACAATTCAGTCATAGTCACAGGAAGGCCTGTCAGTGCTAGGAGAAATACATCCCAGTAGACACACGGAGATACTTTTACTCCCCACGCGGGACTTAAACTCACATCTTTTGCATGTTACGGTGAAGTGCCTAACCGCTACACCAGACACAAATGCAGCAATCGGAGCAGGTGGTGAAAAATCTTATATTATGACCTGTTTTTTTAAACAAAAAATCTAGCTTGCTCCCAGGTACACGTTTAGTTACAGGAGTGAAGAGAGGTAAGCCTCATCTTTAACCTGAGTTGTTCAGTCTCTGAACTTGTGAGCCGAAAGAAGTCAACATGTCTTAGCATTTCAAGGTGGAACTTGAGCCTGATGCAGATGGCATCAGGACTTGAGAATATTTTTCTGGCATTGATCCAGAATTTTTGCATTTAAGAGACTGCATTAGATCCAAGCAATAATTTGACCGGGGAATCAAGTGACAGTATGGATCCAGCTCAACAAAGTTAAAAAAAAGAAATTAAACTTTTTCAATTAGGCTTTTGATGTATTTGCGTGTTTATCCATATCTTATGACATTGAGAAAAGTGGAAGTACACAAGATAAAAGTCAGCTAGGCACTTTTTCAAAAAGATTTTGACTTTAATTACCATCATCCCCCCCCCCCCCCCCTTTTTTTTTCTGCAACATTTATGTGAGGTAGCATGGTGAAATCAGGCGCCCGTCACAATAATGAAAGAGAAAATGAAGAAATTTGAATTTTTCCAGAGGTTTGGGGATTTTACTATTTTGGCTCAACACGTTTCCTGCCCATTACAGAACACATTTCTGTGTGGATTCTTTTTTTACGCTGACTAAAGGCAAAAAATATATTCATTAACAGGTTGATTTTAACATCACGTTTCATTTTGAGAGCAGTGCTCATATCACATACACTTATGTTTTTTGAGATGGTGGAACTTTGCTTATTTTGATTTCCTCAAATCCAGACAACAACAAAAAAAGACAAAAAAATTGAGGCGATGGTGTTCATGTGGTAAAAAAAAAAAGCACTGAAAAAGTGATAACAATCCCACAAGTCTTTCCTGGAGAACAACCAAGGCACAGTTATTATTTCTTGTATTCCGCTAGTTTTTTTTAACATTTATCAAGCACAACACAAGAACAGAAGTAACTTTGAGTAATGTAATTAATCGATACTCATCCGGAACCAATTTATCTTAGAAATAATAAGTGTCGTAGTAAAAATAAATATAAAGACTCCAAACTAAAACATCTGATTTTTTTGTGTGTGTTGGATATCCTATACATAACCACAAAACTCTTCTTTTTTTTGTGTGTGTTTTTTTTAAAGAGGGGAAAGGTGCACAATACTTATTATATATAAAGGAGTTCCAGAAGAGGAGCGTCAGTGGGAAAGCACATCTGTGATGTACCAGAACCATAATCTGAACTACTCAGTCCTTTCTAGGTAGAGAAAAAAACCAAAGATGTAACTATGCTATACCCAGCGAACTTCAGACTCCACAATATGTAAAAGAATCTTTTTTTTTTTCAACTTCAGCTTTACTTCATTAACTCACTGGATCTTGACTACCCAGAAACTGTCATGTTTTGATAACCTTTCACGATTCATAATTAATGAACCAACAAAAAGAAGACATGGGAGAACTGGCATGGTATGCAACATATTTTTTTTTAAAATGACAATCTTTTGGTATGTCTGTCTGTACAATACTTATTATTTAATAAACTCTACATTTTTTTTCTCCAATTTCCAAAAAGATCAGCTGAGCGCAAAAATCTTTTCGGCCAAACTGAGTTGACCTGTGTGAGTATTCCACACCACTTCAGGACTTCGCCAAAGGCTTGAAATGCAAGAAAAAGAAAATATACCGAGATATAATTGTAAACTTGTGGTTGAATGCTTGTCTCTCATAGACAGTTCCACTCTCTGCATTAGCCAATGTTGGCAAGTTAAACTCATTCAGTCTAAAAATTTTAAACCCCAATGGACCGGCGGTAATAACCCTGTTGCCCATCGGAAGCTGGTGGCAGCGTCCAATACTACTGGTGACAACTGTTTTGTTTCATTTAGTGCAAGTATTTGTTTGTTTTTCGGAACTATTCCCAAACCAAGTTTTTTTTAGTATTGACAAAGCCTTTGTTTCCACCATTTAGAAGTTGGAGGCAAACTTATAGGGTTATTATAATGAGACATAGTGCACCAGGTTTAGGTGACTGGTAAACTCTGGGAAAAAACTCGGGGTTAAAGCGTTAATGACATTCAATAAATACTCCTGTGACACTAAGAAAAAACAAAGACTTGTTTGTTTGTTTGAGTAAAAAGAAGCCCATTGACACAATAAAGGTCATTTAGTGCTGGGGAAAAGTAAGACAGACAGACAGACAGACAGACAGACAGACAGACAGAAGAAACAGAGGGAAAGTAAAGAAGTACAAAAGATACACAATGTACTTTGTGACACTAAGAAAAAAAGAAGTATTAAAAAAATATATATATACATCAGACAATGATGTGGACATTTCATCAGAGCGCTTTTACAGACAATTGTCTACCTTTGTGAACTACATCCCAACATTAATGGTGTCGGACAGTAGTAGTAATACTTTATCTGACTGTACAAGGGCAGCTCAGCAACAACCTTTTGGTAAGAAAGCGCTTACACCCACACACTGGAACACAAGACAACAGTTTACCTACCAACTAAGCAAACCTGATTTCAAATTCAAACCAAGCAAACTGGATCCAAACAAAATGAAAATGGACAAAAATCAAAAGTTTCCTAATTTTGTTCTCAACATTTTGTTTTTGTTCTAAAAGAAGCCAGCGTTACTTTTTACACAGCCAATAATATTGTACACAAAGCAAATTTACATCAGCCACTTTTGGTAAACAAAAGGATAGCTAGTTACAGTATTTTGGAAAGGAAGTGCCTTTCAAGTGGAAAAATATTTGTGTACATCATATGAGCAAACAGTTTTGATTCCATACCAGTATTTGTGGGGCAATATAATCATTGCTACACTTTGTGTAAATATTTTTCAAATTTGTTCAGCAATGAGTGAGCTACCCGGCAGTAAATAGGACAAGTGTGAGTTATAGCCTCAATCATAAAAACAAGTGTCAGTTGTAGCCTCAATCATAAAACAAGTGTGAGAAAAGCTAGCAGGCCAGCACACATCTCAAGAGCAACCATGGTTCTACTTTGCCGGTTCACATTTTAGATTTCCAGTCAGGGAAATAATTCTCAAGATCATAACAAGATCTAAATTCCAAGCACAGAATGGGATACTTTATTTCTGGCATTAACAATAAAAAATGAAAACAGCCAGAGATATCCTCACCATCGCCTTCAGCATTGTTCCTTTCAACAGATGAGAATCAAAACAGGTCCAACTGTATACATTTTCACTTTGACCAAGGCTACAGTTCACTGGATTACAACTAGTCTAGAGAAATAGCTCTGTAGAGAACACCGAAAGTTTACCCCAAATAACTTCTTTTGGGTAAGTTCCCTGCCCAATTTGTATGTCTGCACTGAATTTGGTCATGCAGATCCGACTAGATGAAGAAGGGTGTTCCCTACAAACATGCTACATAAAGAAACACCATCAGCACCATGTCACTTTTACACAGTATGATAAGCCATTCAGCTACACAGACAGAGAGAAGACATTTTTAAAAGCCCACTTGCACATCTCGCTTTTATACTTAAGACTTAATAATTATAATAATACTAATGATATTTGATTCCACATAAACAATCAAGGGGTCCTTGAACCTGACATTCACCCAAACGCTGTCAATTTTCACATCCTTAACTAGAAACAAAAAGCAGTAGATGAAGTACCAGAACAAGTCATCTTGTCATTTCTTTTTTGCAACCGTTATGGCAGTTACGACAACACGCTGAGCACAACTCGAGCTAAACCAATATACAAAACATCAGATCCATTAGTCAAATACAATGTTACCAGAAACGTGTTACTATGAGCGCAGGAGCCTTAGACATATAAATTCAACAGTCTATTTTAGTTCCAAAAGGTTATTTCGGCTTAACGGGCAGATATAACATCGCCTCAGAACAGCAGCCATAAGCTTATGGGCTTTAGACTTGCAAACTGGATAATCTAATATGGTTCGAAAAGATCATCTCTGTCATATGAAAAACACTTTGGCCGAGAACTGAAGAGATCTTTATTCTGTCCTTTACCTATCGGAAACTAAAATTATAAGCCTCAGAACAGAAATGTGACTGTCAAAGAATTTTCTTGGTTTGCACATTATGGCAAGTCAGTAAGACAATGACCACATTCCGAGATGAACAGACTAGGACGCTAGCAACATCAAATAGAAGTAGAAGGGGCAGATCACACTAGAACTCCCACCAACCACCTGCACGAGGAATAAAGCCGCTCCTGGGCAACAATAGCAGCGAAGGAAAAAACAAAATCCACAGCGACAGGAAACAAAGGAGCCCTTTGTGGACACCAAAGCACGCCCCTTGCACTCATGGTCACATCTATTCAATGGCAAGGAACTCGTGTATATAGATAGATAGATAGATAATGTTCTCAGCACATGGTCAGGCAATACGCAGTGGTGGAGGAGATGATTCTGGGATCACAACACGCATTGTTACTTCCGCTTGACGTTACTTGCAGACTTGATGTTCTTGCTCAATGTTTCTTCCTCTTGAATCTCTTGTCGGAATGCCGCCACTTTTTCTGCAAGATAAGGTATGCTCCCATTGAAACACTGAAGACATTTAATTAAGGAACACACAACTTTCCACCTAATATATGTAAAGAGAATTTGATATTAAATTAAAAAATCATATATGCCATTAAAAGAAAACTTGTTTTTCTCCATCTCTTCTCCATGATCCAATAATATTACATTTCCAAAACTTAAAAAAAAGAACTTTTGACACTATCAAACAATTAAAATAAAAAGAGAAATGAAAAGACTTTAAACATGTTTAAAAAGAAAACATACAAGCAACGGTAAAAAACCCCTCTAATAAACACAGCAGTTCCCTTTATGTAACTACACCAGAAAATGCACCACAAGCTAGTCTCATTTTACTACCCCTAGGCCATTCCCCACAAAAACAAGTTCCTTCCCTGAGCTCCAGCCTTAACTGATAGAAAAATATTCCAGCAGGTATTTCATTTTTGCCGACTCCACAAACAGAGCTTACTTCGATAAAAATACATGTGAAAAAGAAAAGTAGCTGCAAAAAAAATTCATAAAAAAAAAAAATGACCATAAGATCCTGCAAGATTTTTGAAAAGCTAGATCTATATATTTTTGGCAGCATCAACAAATCCATTGCTTAGCGAAAGATTCTACAATACTCCATTTTGAAAAGTGATTTTAGTTTTAGTTTTATTTAGAGTTTTGCGGCACTTGCAACACAATAAGTATAAGGTCATATGTTGTTGTTGTTGTTATCGATCCAGTAATAGCTGGGCTCTCGCCCTTCTGTCCAATGCCATGTAGTGATAAGTGCAGGTTTGCTGCAGTTGCTGTAATGTTCCATAGAGTGTGTTGTCAATGTTAGGTCTTGGAGGGAGAAGGGTAATAAGGTCATATAAGTGCCGAAGATTAGAAGTGTTACAAGAGAGTAATAAACATAAAACAGAAGGAGGAGGGATCAGGATGATAGATGTTTGACAGGAAAGAAGGAGAAAACCACACCAGAGCACCCGCCAACCACCCACGAACAGTGATTTATGACAGTCTTACAGCAAGCAGTTGAAATAATGATGGCCAAGAGTATGCGTGTGTGAACACAGAAAAATAGACAAAATGGAAACAAAAAGCTGGAAAGTAAAGAAGAAGGACCTACCAGCTCACCACCCATAACTGGCAAAGACCAACAGCCTCGAACAACAGGAAACACTCACCTCGTAATGACGAAATGGCTTGATGTCTTTTCGCGAGGTATGCATCAAGCTGCTTTGCAAAGTCTGGAGGATGAAGAGTCATGAAAAAAAAACCTTTGCTTTACCAGTGAGGATACAAAGATAACATCAAAGTCATGTAACAACAATTTGAGGAACTTTTTCTCGGCTGGCCTTAAAATCAGGGTAGTAGGCATTGACCAAATTAATTTCACACCTCTGGCTACCCAGGAAAGTCTCCATGCTGGAGCACTACTCAAGAATTTTCACGAGCAGTAGTGAGATTTCACGCCCACACCACCCTGACCATCTGAGCTGCACAGGACTCGCAGGGATGGGGGTAACATCTACTTCCAAGTTGGACACCTACCCCCCTTCCTCGCCTGGAAGCATGAGGTAAAAGTTAGAGTTACAGCCGATGGAACTTAACTTGGGAGTTTCGATCAGTTTTAACTCAGGGCTGAGCGAGCAAAGCATTTCCCGTCTTAGACGGGTTCAAAAACCCTCCAAGGGGAAGGAATTCCTCTTTCCGTGTCCTGGTAGAGCAGGTTTCTGTTTTATAGAGGTAATTATTGTGGAACTTTTCAGGGGAGGAGTGGGGAGATTCAATTATGACAGGTTTCCAAATTAGAGAGGTTTCCATTAAGGCAGGTTCGACTGTGCATATCAAATTAAATCCAAATTAAGTTACATTTTACCGATCCCTGTGGAAAAAACTGTGGGTTACAATGGAAAATATACATATATATAAAGAATACCGATCACACAATTGCAGATAAATTTACAAAAATGCTGTTGCAGTGCAGCACCCTATTTTTTTTTAGCCAGGGCTACCATGTCTTGCCCAAAGATATACCATCGTGACCACCCATCTAAACCCTGTGGCATCAACATTTGCTTGAGATTATTTGTGAGTCTGAACTCACCAACCATTTGGTCACTTAACTCACTGACTATGATTCCCGCCACAGGTATGGGACGGGCAGCCGCTTCGCTTGTACAGATCCCGTACTCCCAACGGGATGAACTTTGCGCTTTTCTTCCGAAACTTGCGTTCCCGTCACATACTATTATACGGAAACGAACTCCAGTGCTAGAGGGCTAGACCTAGCTCTAGTACTGATGCTGTTGTTAGCACAAAGAAATCACAATATCGTGCCCTACATCTGCCTTATCTAATTCTGTGCATGGGTCTGAATAAACGCACAGACCAGCTTTTATACTTTCACCAAACACTCACAGATGCATACAAATCAAAACAGAACACTTTGAAGTTTTATTTTTGTTGTTGTTGTGAATTTCATTCTATCCGTCACACCTCAGGAAATTTTTTGGAAAATAAAATTCATGCCAGTTTTTTAAAAATCATAAAAACTAAAGTTTTAGACTCTGACAACTTTAGGTGTTTTTTTGTATTAGATTAAGCTTGAGTGTAACTTTACTGTGTCAAAAAATTATTACAATAGGGTAATTCTGAGAGTTGTGGGGGTGTTTTCAAATACTCCCAAAAACGTCAGTATTCAGCGCTTGTGACTGGTGAAAGGGCCCAGTAGTCAGTGAGTTAATGTATAGGCCTATTATACTCATTAGATGCCACAAGTCAGTTTCAATAATGCCACCTCCATGCCATGCTGGCAGGAAAGGATACTTTCACTACATGACTGTTAAGTACATTTATATTGTGACCTGGGATATAAACTTGGCTCAAACTGAGGTTTCCTAACCGTTTTAGGCATAAGTGCAGCCCAAGGCCATCGATGTTTAGTTTCATTGAGTTTTACAGCAGTTGCAACAAAAATGTCTAGAATATAAATGATGAAGATTAAAAATATTATGTAGAGTAGCACACAAAGAAAAGGAGGAGAGATAAGGATGAAAGATGTACGATGATAAGAAAGATGAAGCAAACCACACCAGAGCATCTGCTGTCAATTACCCACAGCCATCAATCTAATAAGTCACAGTTACAGAGCTGCCCAGCAACCTGCATGTTTTAGTAATCAACAACTAGAAAATTAGAGATATGGCTCAAAAACTTGTAAGTTGGCCATAGATAGTTTTCCTCCCTTAGGTGTCTGTGTCGTTGTTATTGTTGTTATTGATCCAGAGGTGTCTGTGTCAGGGACAAGGGTTAAAGTAGTCAATAATAAATGTAAAGTAAACAAAGGCATGATGAAGGGGAAAAAAGGGGATGGGGGGAGGTCTTGCCGTGCTTGTCATCATCTAGTTACAAAAATAAAAAGGGGGCACAGAAAGGGGAGGGGAGGGGGTTGTTACTGCTTGCAAAAATCAAATAAACCTTTGGAACTACAGAGTATGTCACAAACCTTTGAACCTGATCTGTGTATCACAACACACCATGCCATGCACTCACTATAGGTAATTGTATCAAGTTTCAAACAATGATCACTTCTTAAAAGATTCTCAATTATGGCCTAGGCTGTCACCCAAAACACAAAAGGGGCCGGAATTTTGTGGCGTCAGTGGCCTAGTGGTTAGGCTCTCGGACTCGCAACCGTAAGGTCGTGGGTTCGAATCCCGTCAGGGACCCAACGTTGTGTTCTTGGGAAAGGCACTTAACACGAATTTTCCTCACTTCACCCAGGTGGGAATGGGTACCAGGCTATAGACAGCGAAAAATCTTGTCAGTTTGTTAGTGTTTGAGCGCTTAATCAGCTGCTTGCACTGTGTGCTTCCCGGGAAGCTGAGAATGTTTCGGAGTGTTCTATGGTCTGCCGGGGTAATAATATAGTGTAAAGCGCATAGAGCCTGCTGTTGAGCGGGGCATGCGCTATACAAATGCTATTTATCATTATCATTATTTTTTAACCACCTTGTCAACCTAATGTTTGCCATTTTCTAATGCTTTTCTGATGGTGAAGCCGCACTGAGGGACTACAACGGCTCAGTGCAAAGAGAATGTTAAAGTTAGATGGCTGCACGTGATGTAGTGACGTAAAATGTCTGGCTTTGGTAGTTTTTCTCCCCTTATTGTGGCCGCCGAAATTTTTAAAATTGAGAATCATGGAAAATACAACCATGTTTCCATAAAATTGAATAAAAATTGTAACAATTTTGCCAAATTTGTAATGCTGGGCAGCCCTGCAGTTATATCACAGAACTGAGAAGACGAGCGATTTTCCACACATAGAATGCAAATCTTTAAAAACCTAAGCCATTGAACTGACGTCCTAAATGGAACAAACTCACAAACCTCACCTTCTACATCATACTCCACATTGTCTGTCATCTTGAACAGCTTCTTGTCTTCCTGTACCCATTTCTGAGACTCCTGAAAACCACACAAGAATCTACATTCAAAGGGGAACAAACCTGAAGCAAAAAGTTCTTTCCTTCAACGTTGGAACTTATGAAAAGACCTGATGCAAAACACATATTATGATGTCTTCAAACTCTTTCAGAAATTTCACACCACTTAAAAAAAACCCCAATGGCACAAGATTTTCTTGACTATTTTCTATGACATTATGGCAAAAAGCATGGACTAGACAACAAAGACAGGACGCGATAAGTCAGAACAAGGTTGACCTAGCGTGCCAATCCAGGGTCACTGAGGGGTTGCAGCTTTGTCTTACAGGAATGAGAAACAGCACTGATCACAGCTGTTCACGGGCAGTACTTTAGTTCTACTGGCACCCCGCAGCCCCCACCCCCCCGGCACTCAGCCTAACTCGAACCAGCCATTACCAACTGGTCAAGAGGTACTGGTCAAGAGGTCAGCGCTGGGAATTTTGCTTGACTGACAGATTCGCGATGAAAATGTTATTGCAGCAATTTTAGGCTTTGTTTAACAAGCGAATAAGCCCAAACTACAACACCAACTGAGCATCAAACCGTATTCTTTGAATAAGCATCATCTGACAAATTTCATGGAGCAATCGTGCAACTAATTAAGATAAAGAGATACGAGATGACGCAGAAAGAAAAGTGGATATATGTTTAAACATTGATAGAGGGTCATGATTTCATTAACTCTTATCCTGCGTCTGTGCCCAGATGCGTATCTTATCAGCAACCGATTACGCCGGACGTGCCGGGCAGGCCGTCGGGGTCACTCAGTGTGTACTGTTGGTGTACAACGCGCGCATCGGGAAACCGTTAAACGTGTGTTTTCGCCATGAATACCATGGGAGTGTGTTAACTGATGATGAAAATAACGCTCTATCCTTCATAGCTTTCTATTTATTAAGTGTTACAAACACATGAATAACCCCCTCTCACAAGCTGATAAGACATTATGAGTAGTTACGCCCATTTGAATAACCTCTCTGGACGCTCTTGTTGTTATGAATGACCTGAGGTTCGAAAGGGGATAATTTAGGTCAATTTCCGAATGTTTTACACTCAAATTGTTCTTTGTACCTGCACAAGAGTTCAAAACTATCAAACAAGCTCATTTTTTATCAGGTAGTATCATTTCATACAAAATCAAGCTCATTTGAAATATTTTGTATAGAAAAATGGAAGTATTGTTTCCTGACTATCCTTTCGAGCTCCTCATGTCTAAGTGGGTCAATTTCTTCTATAATTTCATTGGACGAACATCTAGAGCTATGAACTTGGCATGTTTTGAATGAGACGTATGCCTCGATTCAAACCAAGGCAGGTGGTTCTAGAAGAAGGCCACAAATGCACACAAACTCAAGCAGACTGACGCACACACGCTTGACCTGCGTGAATGGGGATCCGACTCGGGACCCGAATGACACGTAAGACGATGCGCGCTGCGCGTGCGCTGAGCCAGGAGCTACACTGACTCGGGACCAGAACGCAGGCGATGTGCCGAAATAGGCTTATCGGGCTACATAAACCCGGCTCCCGCAGGATGAGGGTTAAATTTGAACATGACAGTTGTGGATGATGTTGACAATGTAAAGATATTGGGTCAGACATAGAATGAAATTTTTAAGTCACTTCACTTCATCATTGTGTCGTTCCCAAAAGCAAAGATATTTGAGTGGAGATTCACAGCTTTTCGTTATCTGGCCTCAGTTTCCCAAGTCCTGCCGTCACATGTGACAACTCTAGATTAAAACAAATCACTCTAAGATCGCGGGTATCACCAGTCAGGGTGTCAGCACCTACAAACGTTCAGTATACCTATACCCACTAGGGGAAACTTGCACAATTTGTAAATATACCAATCCCAACTAGATTTGTAAAAAGAATTGAAACCGTTGGTCAGTTCACGAAATTATTTAGGTTTAAATTCAAATAATACTGAAAATAGAATTCGATATGGTAGAAACACGTCTAGGAGAACATAGTCCAATATAATCAAGATTATGAACTGAGATCAACCAAAGTTATATCCTCTTTTAGGGGGAAATTAAGCTTTACAATAGCGGATCGTGTGGTGACATAGCATCTTTAGATCTGGAGATATCGGGGTGGGAAAGACACCGCAATCTGGAGGAATTGCACTATACAGGCAGGCGGGGCACGCCGCTGGCATCACGGAAGTGAGCACAACTGACTGCTGATTTAATGACCAACCCATGGGTGGCACAGACGGCTGGCATGAAGCAACTAAAGGAGCGGTCTCCCAGCCTGTTGAACAGCCGTGGGATGTATGTGATGAGAGAGAGAGAGA